ATTGGTCTCCGGACACGCTTCAAGGTGCTAGTCGTTAACTTTTAAAGCCCTACATGGTATCGGACCTGGGTACTTGAGAGACTGCCTCCTGCCAATTACCTCCCAAAGACCAATTCGATTGCACAGACTAGGCCTCCTCCGAATTCCATCTGCCAGTCAATGTCAGCTGACAACTCCCCGGGGGAGGGCCTTCTCTGTGGCTGCTCCGGCCCTCTGGAACGATCTCCCGATCTCCCCGTTGAGATCTCTCACCTCCCTTCAAGCTTTCCGCAAAGCAACTAAGACCTGGCTGTTCCGGCAGGCCTGGGGCTGTTGAATCTTCCAGCCCCATCCGAGGTTACGACTGTTGCTGTATTTTTAAATTGTTTGTCTTTTTATTTTATTTTGTACCTCCCTTGCCCTTCAGATTGTTAGCCGCCCTGAGTCTCTTGGGAATAGGGTGGCATACAAGCTAAATAAACCTTAAATAAAGAAAAAGGAGGGAAGGAAGGAGGGAAGGAAAAAGGGAAGGAAGGAAAGAAAGTAGAATGGGAATGAGAAAAAAGGTAAGAGATGGGATTGAGAAGAAAGAAAAAGGAAGGAAGGAAGGAAGGAAAGTAGAATGGGAATGAGAAAGAAGGTAGGGGGACTGGGTTGAAAAGAAAGGAAGGAAGGCAGGAGATGGGAATAAGAACGAAGGTGGGAGATGGGATTGAGAAGAAGGGAAGGAAGGAAAGGAAGGAAAAAAGAAAGAAAGAAAAAGAGAGAGAGAGAGAGAGAAAGCGCATATTCTTCAACTTGGTGCCCTACGGAAGGAACGGGCTGCCATTCCCTTCCTACCGCCTGGCAGGACGAGAATAGGTGGCATGGGACATGTAGTCCTCCTCCTCCTCCTCCTCCTCTTCCAAAGACCTCCCCACTCTTCCCTCCTTCCCCCCAAAGTCAGCCCCTCCAGCCCCATCCCGAGGCGTGGACGCGGCGCGTTCCCGGGCCGCCCGGCGGGGCAGGCGAGAGAGCCATCTAGGCAGCAGCAACGGCGGCGGCCGCAGGAGCAGCAGCAGCTGCCCGGGTTGGCATTGACGTCAGAGCGGCCGCACATGACCGCGCAAGCCAATCCGCGGCGCTCCGGAGCGGCTCCTGCCAGGCGCTTCCCAGCCCCGCTCGCCTCTCCTCCTCCTCCTCTCCTCCTCCTCCTCCTCGGGCTTCGCGACGCCGCCCGGGGCTCCCAGACACGCGTCCGCCCGCATCCCGACGTGCGCCAGAGGACCCGGCGGCCCTTCTGCCTCCTCGGAAGCCCTCGGTGCCTCTCCCTGGCCGCCCAGCCCAGCCCCGCCGTCCCTCCGGAGCGCCTTTTGTCTGGGCGGGGGGCTTGGAGTAGAGCCGCGGGCGCTGAATGGGGGCTCCGCGAGGCTCCGGGGGCGGCCGGGGTTAGAGACCCCTCCTCTCTCCCCCTCCTCCTCTCCTCCGTCGGCTCTGACCCCCCCTCTCCCTCTCTCTCGCCCCCCCCCCCACGCCTGCTTGGCCCGGGGAGGGGTCGCCATGGATTGCACGAGCGGCTGCGGGGGCGGCAGCGACCCCCGGCCGCTGGAGGAGAGCAAGCAGCCCTTGCTGGGTGAGGCGCCCGAAGGGACCAAGCCCGGAGCCGCCCCGTGCCGGCGAGGCGTCCACTGCAGCGGCATGCGCTACAAGCTGCTCCAGGAAGGGGACATTCAGGTGTGCGTCGTGCGGCACCCCAGGACTTTCCTCAGCAAGATCCTCACCTCCAAATTCCTGCGCCGGTGGGAGCCGCATCACCTGGCCCTCAACGAGCACAGCCTGGCCTCGGCCACGGTAAGTGGGCTCCCCCTGTCCTGGAGACCCTCTTCCCCACCCCCTCCCCTTCCCCCCTTGGGCTGCATGGAGGTTTGCTTTCTTTCTCTATTTTGTTTCTTTGACTTTACAAGGTGACAGGTAGGCGAATAGACACGAATAAAGGGGGAGGTATAAACGGGGACAGGGACCGTAGACACCATGGTGCGCCTGTGCCTTCCTTCCTCCCCCCACTTCACCTCACCTTTACCTGGGTTTTACACCTCTTTGAACCCCTCCGCCGAGACAGATCTTGGGATGTCAGGCCAAAGCAACCAGCTGCAAGACACCCCTCGGCTTGGTTTTGTCCCCCTCCCCACCGCCGAGATCTGGCTCCATGGGGTTTGAACCCACCTTCATGCCAATCTGTGGTTGAGCTGCCCCCACAACCAGCTCAAGGTAGACTCTGCTTGCCTGCCCTGTGGAAAGAGAGGGCTGTTCTCCCACTGCCTTTCCTTGCTCTTTGGCCCCTGGGGTTTGAACAGGCTCCCCGCACCCAGTCCCTTCTCTCTGCTTGGTGTGTGTGTGTGTGTGTGTGTGTCTAGGGGAGAGTGTGGTCCAACACCTTTGAAACCTCCCCCCACCTCCAAAATAAAAAAAATTGTAAAACCTGGAGTGCGGGAAGGATGGTTTTTGAGGTCTAAATAGGTGCTTTTGAACAAAGCCTCCAACAGAAGCAACATTTTGACTTTAGGCTGCTTTTGTGTGTGTGTGTGGGGGGAAGTATTAATTTTTATTGTTCTTAATCTGATTGTCATCTTCTTGTCCTTTGGCAGTTTGGAATAGCTTGAAGTTGAAAGGAGAAGGTTACCCCCCCACCCCCCCAAAGGAATAATCCTCTTTGTGAAGGGCTTGTCTTTCCATTATTTAGATGGCTATTGTAATTGAATTATTCATCATGAACACCTCATGATGGAAGATTTCGCTTCCTCTTTCTTCACAACACTCAGATGCCCCGATTACTTAGATTTTAATCATTTCCGTCTTTGGAGGTTGAAGTTCCTTTGTTGTTTTTAATCAGGTTGGCTGGCTCTTTAAAACGCTGACTTGTAATTAAAAGGAAGAACGAATCAGACCTTGGGACGGAAGGCAAATAGGCTCTGTACCCATGGAGCGGTTGGACGGTTCACGAAACAACATGAGTGTTGTGTTTTCAGTTGGATTCTGAGCGATACACCCTTACTACGAACTTTGCTCCCTTCAAAGACCAGGGTTGGCCTTTGTTCCTCTTGGTCTTTTGAAGTGAGGGTGAGCAAGCTAAGGATTATGGGGAGGATTGTAGTCCACCCAGATTAGGGGAAGTTGTAGTCCACCCAGTCTAAAAAACAGAAAGCTAGAAGAGGCTCCTCCTCCTCCTCCTTGGGATTTGAAATGATTGTGTTAAATCTCCTACAATAGCCCGTTCCGTGTTTTAGATTGCAGAAAATGGAAGGTGCTCTCTTCCCATTTTAGATAACACCTCTTGCTGGATTTAGGCTAGATTGCAGATAATGTGATCCTTTTAAGTGTTCTTTGTGAGACTAAATTTCATCTCCGCTCAAGAACCAGGGGTGTTTACTTCTTCTCGTGCATGCAATGAAATTTAAGCTGCCTTGCAAAGGGTTTAGCGAGCCAAGCATCTCTTACTGCTCACCATAACCCTGCAAGGTAGGCTGCCAGAGAGCAGCAATTCTCTATATACAATAAGGCTGCAGCGTCCAGAGCAGGAGGGTTAATTGCTCGGTTTCCTCGCAGCTTTGCTGTGGCTGCACAACCCCATCACTTGTCTCTTCCAAAGCAGCCATTTTCCACTTGGCTATCTCAAGTGGATTGTTGCCAACCGCGGGTAGACGTTAGCGGTAGTCACCTGTTTGTAGAATTACAGTAATGACTCTTCTGGACTTTGGGCTTTTGGATAGAAGTGTTGCTCTTCAGATGCTGCATGACTCACCGGCGTTGTATAAATAGTGCAAATCATAAATAGTGCAAGGACTATGCTTGTTCCTCCTAACCTGTGGCAGGTAGTTCACAAGGCCACAGGTCTTTAGCACTTCTTGGGGGGGTCTTTCAACAGCCCCCGGCTCTTCCTTTTGTGACTGTAGCAAGATCAAAGTTTATGCGGATCTCTCGTAGCAGTAAAGCCTGACTGACAACCCTGGGTTTATTACGAAGTAAGGGGATATGGGTTGCAGCCTTGGTGTTTTTTTTCCCCTCTTTATTTATCTCCATCTCCCTTTCAGTTCTCTTTTCCTGTTCGTTTGCAGAGCGTGGCTTTTGGTCTGCGATTGGTTTCAGTGACAAGCTTGCATTTTGTTCACACGATTGAGGTGGGAGAGGACTTCCTAATTCTTTGGGTTTTCGAATCAAGCCCAAGTGAGAACAGCCAACTGAAAATGCTTCTGGGCAGAGCAGTGCAATTTTTTTTTTCAAAGAGTGCAATTTAGCACGTTCACATGTGACTTTAGTCTGGTGTGCTATACAAACACTGCCTGGCGTTTTTTTTTTTAAAAGCAGGGTTAGGAAACCCAAGGCTATTTTCCAGAGGTAAACACAGGGCAAGCCACTAGAACCGTGATGGCGAACCTGGCCAAAGTGGCGTTGCCCGTTCCTCTCCCGGGTTTCTGGCGCGCATGTGTGCGCAATGGTCAGCTGGCCTTCGTGCGTGCAGCGGTTCCTGAAACTGGATGTGCACACCAGAAACTAGAAGTTCATTTTCCAGCACACGAATGCAGATCCTCTTCCGGGTTGCGGCCCCGCTGAGCACATGCGCATGACCCCCCCCCCTTTTTGGCACTCGCCATCACTGCGCAGGAATATAAATTGACAGCAAATTCAACTCCCTACCAGCACTAATGATGTTATCTAGTTTGGTAATGAAATATCTCCAAGGAACCAACCAAGCTCAGAGAAGAACGAGAGTCCTAGCTCTCCTCCACTACAAAACCCTGCTCCCTATCATCACTGATAATATTACCTAGTTTGGTAATGAAACGTCTGCAAAGGAAACAACCACATTCAAAGATCTTCAAGAACCTTGATTCCAGTGGTTTATTTGGCCATCCTTATTTAATAGTTGTAAGGCACCATGATCTATTAACTTAGCCATAGATCTATTGTCAATCAAAATTGAAGTACTGTGTTGATTCCTTAATGGAATTTTATAGCCGGGGATACCGTGTTTCCCTGAAAATAAGACAGAGTCTTATTTTCTTTTGACACACACACACACCTCCGTGCGAAATAAGCCCATGGCCTTATTTTTGGGGAGATCTTATTATTTTTGAGGTGTAGGAGGCCCCCTAACCTTGGCCCACGGATCCAGAGAGGGCCGGAGGTTCTGTCTCTGTTTCTGGCACACTCTTGCCAGCCCTAGAGTCTCTGGGCCTGCAGCTCTTTTTCCAGCCGCCACTAAGAGAAGGGTCGCAGGAGCTAGGGTTTGTGGGAGCAGCCTCCGCAAGACCGTTTTGCATGGATGGGAGGTGCATGTGGGGTGCATGGGGCATGTTCCCCCCTTTGCATCCCAGGAAATGACAGGGACTGGCTGCACACACAGTTAACTATTTTAGTGGAGGGCTTATTTTCGGGGAAGGGCTTATTTTAGTGCATGCGCTCAAAAGCCCGATTGGGCTTATTATCCGGGGAGATCTTATTTGGGGGTGGAAGGGTTATATAAAGCACAGTTATTTCTGCCACATTCTTTTAAAAACTCTGTGGAATAAAGAACAATGAAATCGCCTAGATTGGATTTGGATTGTATCGTCTCCCAGGGTTTTTCCAAAACGTTTTTTAAACAAACAAACATAAACAAACATAAAACATAAAAACCATCCTCCAGTTACATACAGTATGTCGAGTGGTTACAAAACTTTTATACTTCCTCACCAGTGGTGGGTTGCTAATCCCGTTCCAACCGGTTTGGTTGGAATGGGGCCGGCGGCATCCTCGTGCATACGCGCAGTGTCTTAGCGCCTGCACGATGCTCCAGCTGCTCGCGGAGTATCGAGCAGGCGCTGTATGTGCCATCCAGCTGCTCATGGAGAATCGCGAAGGTGCTGTATGTGCCATGCGCCTGCGTGGAAGNGTTATCAGCTGCCTTCAGAGTTGGACATCAGTAGAGCAGAAAAACAGCTGGAGTCTGTTCCCAGTGTGTGCATGTGCAGAGCTGCCAGGAGAATGGAACAATTAAAGAACAAGGGTCAACTTGGGAGTAAGGCCACAGGTGGATGGTGAATGGCCCCTCCCATAGGGAATAAAAGAGGAGGGAAAAGGGAGGGGACAATTAGTTCATTACTGAATTCTTGCCAAGTATTGTGGCATCTGAAAGATATTGTCCTGGCCCAGTGGTGCGTTCCGGATCCCGTTGCAACTAGTATGGTGCAAGAGGGCTGTGTGTCCACCACATGCACATGCGCAGCATGCACGCAGTGCACGCATGCGTACTTACTGCCTGCGACACTCCGTGACAGCTCCGCAACACTCCAGCTGCTCTGCAGAGCACCGCACAGGCTCTGTACACTCTGTGTGTATGCACGAAAGCCCTAATTGGCTCAAATACAGGTAAGGAGCATGGCTGGGCGGGCCCTCCAGAGCACTGCATTGGAATGATACCTAGTGCTCCCAGCAGGCACCAGTACGCCCGTACCAGGGTGTACTGGTTGTATCCCACCACTGGCCTGGCCACTCTCCATGCCTGATAAAGATTGGTAATTTGGAACTCTCTTGGAAGACTGGGGGAGAGGAAAGACTTTGCTGGAAAGGAATTCACTGTAAATGAAATAAAAGGGGTTTTTCGGGATGAGGACTTGGCTTCGTGCTGCTGGGGAAGCCTAGGTCAGAAGCACCAAAAGAAGGGAAAAGAAAAACCAACATCAGTATTTCTATCTAAATAAGTCACTCAGCCCACAACTAACTCTTCTTAATCTCCAAAACTTCCTGATTTGGGAACTTGAGAACAATTGTCACCGATGAGCAATAAACTAAAGATACTGATTTTCAATGCAGTG